CAAAAAATGACTATCATCCAATATTGTTTTAACTACATCATAACTAACTTATTATGCATTCTAAACGTACCAATCCTGTTGTTATTTAATTTGTTATGGCCCCAAACACACATATTAAGTAAAACATTCACTCATTATATTTCCTATAGTGAAGACAGTGGATCATTACATTATCTGAATATAATAGACTCATATTAGAATACAATCTCCCCAAAATAAGTTTTAAATTATTGTTACAGTTGATGAAGGGGGTGGGGTGTCTAAAGTCAAAGATGAATCTTGATTGAGTCACCCAAAACAATTCTGCTGGGTCTCCCCAGACCCGAACACCAAATTATACACTTTTTCTTTTCCTTCAGACTTGGCTAAAATGGTCAAAATGAGTTGTGTAGTGTTTATATATCTATTGTGGAGGATATCATGAAGCCTTGTTCCCATACAAAAAACTAGAGCGTAGTTATTGTATGATTTTAACTTGAAACGGGTCACGGGACCTGAACACAACATAAGGGTTAAAGCATGTTAATTTAACTTCTGAAGAAGAAATAAGATTACAAATTGGTTTTGTGTTGAAAAAAGTAGATACTGTGATTCATATAAAAGACAATAATAATTCACACAAAATAAAAAAAAACGTCCTCTTAACAATTCCTTATTGTTCTTTAAAAACGACTATATAAATCTTGATTAATATGAAACTGTCAAAAGTAATGGAAAGTATTGCAACATAAACATTTTTTTAAATATAGCAATATAATGCATTTTTTTATCTCAAAATAATTACTTAATGTTCAAAAATAAGAAGTCAAAGAAATGATGACTCGTGAAACATTCTCAAGATTGATAGTAAGTCTTTATTTAAAGAGTTTAACATGTTCTTGATATACATGTCGTTCTTTCCAGAAGGTTTTCCATTGTTGTGATTTACAGCACAAACATTGGTTTCATAGATGATATGAATACACGGAGTGCCCCCATGTGCTTTAAACAGTGGCGGTTACACAGAGGAAGACACGATAATTCAAACACTTGTGCTTTACACGATATATTTGAATGCTTAGAAATAAATTGCATAGATGTGATAAACAGTGTATTCTCCCAGAAATCAAGATAAGTTAAAAGGCATTGAAATAATGATATATATATTGCAAAAAATCACATTACTCTATGGGTAAAAGTCACCACTTTCACACCGTTTTAAGGCCACTGGATAGCTCACTTTAAGATGCATTTCAACCTTATTCATGGAGATAATGGGTGTTTCTCAATGTCGAGTAAGCTGCTCCAGAGCCACTATTCCTAGGATCCTGGACATTGGAACAGTCCTTCAGCAGGACTCGATGACGTAGCATCCTTGAAATAGTGGCTCTGGAGGAGCCTTCCTCGACATCGAGAAACACCAAGTGAACAAGTTCAAGTTTGATGAATATTTGAATAAAAGCTTTGCCTGAGGTAGCGAATGCATCTGATGTGATTGATAAGCCTTGAGGGAACACAGCAGGTTTTGGTTAGAAAACATTGACCATACAAGTGAAAATAAATGTCTACAAAGTGCCTGAAAGCCTTTTGGCCTGCTGCACTGAAACAAAGAAAATCGTTTTGTTTTCTTGTCATAACACTTACAAATATTGTGCCTGTGATTAGTGTTAGTTCTGAGTGAAACACACACATTTGTGAGCAGCAAAGCATACATTTGGCTACATTTGAAAGTGATAAGAGGTAAAGTGATGTGTCCCCACTAAAGTGACATATCTGTGGGAAAAGGTAACAGGAAGCCCCTCAGTTTTTGGAGGTCACATGACAGGAAGTGGCCTGCTCCTCCATGCCAGCCTGCGTCATGAGCTCAGACACGTCGCTCTCAAGGTCGTCGATGCGCGTTCCCATCTCATCTATAGTGAGAAGTGAAGGAACAATGTGCTAGGGAACCAGAGAGCAACAACTCCATATAGCAACCATTTCACATTCAAATGATATTAAAGGTGACATGTCATGCTTTTCTGGTTATCACCCGTCCCCTTGTGTTATGAAGGTTTTTATGCATGTAAACGGTGTGCAGAGTCAAAACCCTCAAAGTACACTCTGTAGCGAGTAAAACTCTAACACAGAAAATACCTCCCCAAAACGCCTCGTTGGAGAAACGTCACTGTCCATTTGATTCTTCCGGGGACATCATGACGTCATGTCGTCCCCGGAACGAAATGGACCAATCCGTGGAGCCGTTACGTTACGTCCGTGGAGCCGTTACGTTACGTCCGCGGAGCCGTTACGTTACGTCCGCGGAGCCGTTACGTTAAGCCCCCGCTGATTGGTCCAAATTGACCAATCCACGGACTTCCTCACACACTCAGTGCAGGCAGCTCTGCTGATCTCTCCTCCCTGACTGCAGGCTGATAACAGACAGTTGGGATCGCGGCGAAATTCTCACTGCAGACCCATTCTCTCTGCAGACCCGTTCTCTCTGCAGACCCATTCTCTCTACAGACCCATTCTCTCCGCAGACCCGTTCTCTCCGCAGACCCGTTCTCTCCGCAGACCCATTCTCTCCACAGACCCATTCTCTCTGCAGACCCATTCTCTCTCAGACCCATTCTCTCTGCAGACCCATTCTCTCTACAGACCCATTCTCTCTGCAGACCCATTCTCTCTCAGACCCATTCTCTCTGCAGACCCATTCTCTCTGCAGACCCATTCTCTCTGCAGACCCATTCTCTCTGCAGACCCATTCTCTCTGCAGACCCATTCTCTCTGCAGACCCATTCTCTCGCAGACCCATTCTCTCTGCAGACCCATTCTCTCTGCAGACCCATTCTCTCTGCAGACCCATTCTCTCTGCAGACCCATTCTCTCTGCAGACCCATTCTCTCTGCAGACCCGTTCTCTCTGCAGACCCATTCTCTCTGCAGACCCATTCTCTCTGCAGACCCATTCTCTCTGCAGACCCGTTCTCTCTGCAGACCCGTTCTCTCTGCAGACCCATTCTCTCTGCAGACCCATTCTCTCTGCAGACCCATTCTCTCTGCAGACCCATTCTCTCTACAGACCCGTTCTCTCTGCAGACCCATTCTCTCTGCAGACCCATTCTCTCTGCAGACCCATTCTCTCTACAGACCCATTCTCTCTGCAGACCCATTCTCTCTACAGACCCATTCTCTCTAGACCCATTCTCCTGCAGACCCATTCTCTCTGCAGACCCATTCTCTCTGCAGACCCATTCTCTCTGCAGACCCATTCTCTCTGCAGACCCATTCTCTCTGCAGACCCATTCTCTCTGCAGACCCGTTCTCTCTGCAGACCCATTCTCTCTGCAGACCCATTCTCTCTGCAGACCCATTCTCTCTGCAGACCCATTCTCTCTGCAGACCCATTCTCTCTGCAGACCCATTCTCTCTGCAGACCCATTCTCTCTGCAGACCCATTCTCACAGCGTTTATCAACCTTTTTCTTACTCAATATCAAGCCACACTTATTGTTTTTACTTCGGCTGTGACTTTGTGTGTGCTCAGGGTGAGTTTGGCTGTGTTATCGCTAAACAAGGAAGTCACACCCTCCACGGAGCTCAGCGCGATTCCACAACGTCCCGACTGGTCCCGACCAATCGGAGCACACTGGGCTCACAGGGAGGGGGGGGCAAGAGCTGCAACGAGCCGTTTAGTGGAGAGAGTGAATACTGCTGAATACACATACTTTACAGAGATGCTGTATGCGAAACCAATGTGAGTTTGGAACATTGCACAGTATACATCTATTCTAGTAGACCTCAACAATGGAATTATGATCAGTGGAAATGGCCATGACATGTGACCTTTAAGCATTTACAGCAATGTCTTCTTTGACACATTGGTGCACACATCTTGTTTAATTTTGGAAGCTTTTCATTTAGTGCTAACCCTCCTCCTGGCGCTAAGCTGCTATCACGTCTAGAAAATATAGGTTTATTTTAGATTAATTGAGCGTTTGTTGTTAATTATGTTACTATAAATTATTTGGGTGAATAAAATCCAGTTTTTTCTCAAACGTACCTGCTCTCCCAGGGTTGTCTGTTCCTGTTCCTTCACAATGGATACAGTAAAAACATATAAGACTAACTGTTTTTGAGAAGGCTCCTACTCGCAGGTGTGTTGTAAACATCTTGATTAAAAGGCCAGAAGGGGAACGGGACGGGGCTGCAATGGTTAACATTTCAAAAGTCTTACTCTACTGAAAGCCTAGTTTCACAAATATATTTTACCGTAGCAAAAGCAAATAAAAATCCTAAATAATGTAGTCAAAGAGACATCTACACAGAGGTGGGGAAAGTACTCAGATCTTGTACTTAGTAAAAGTGGAAGTACTCAGATCTTGTACTTAGTAAAAGTGGAAGTACTCAGATCTTGTACTTGAGTAAAAGTAGAAGTACTCAGATCTTGTACTTGAGTAAAAGTAGAAGTACTCAGATCTTGTACTTAGTAAAAGTGGAAGTACTCAGATCTTGTACTTAGTAAAAGTGGAAGTACTCAGATCTTGTACTTGAGTAAATGTAGAAGTACTCAGATATTGTACTTGAGTAAAAGTAGAAGTACTCAGATCTTGTACTTAGTAAAAGTGGAAGTACTCAGATCTTGTACTTGAGTAAAAGTAGAAGTACTCAGATCTTGTACTTAGTAAAAGTGGAAGTACTCAGATCTTGTACTTGAGTAAAAGTAGAAGTACTCAGGTCTTGTACTTAGTAAAAGTAGAAGTACTCAGATCTTGTACTTGAGTAAAAGTAGAATTACTCAGGTCTTGTACTTGAGTAAAAGTAGAATTACTCAGGTCTTGTACTTAGTAAAAGTGGAAGTACTCAGATCGTACTTGAGTAAAAGTAGAAGTACTCAGATCTTGTACTTGAGTAAAAGTAGAAGTACTCAGGTCTTGTACTTAGTAAAAGTAGAAGTACCAGAGTGTAGGAATACTCTGTTACGGTAAAAGTCCTGCATTCAAAATGTTCCTCAAGTAAAAGTAGAAAAGTATTCTCATCTAAATATAGTGAAAGTAGCGACAGTAAAAGTAGTCATTGTGCAGATTGGTCCATTTCAGAATAATATATATGATATGTTTTATAATGATTGATCATGAAAGTGTTCTCAAAGCTGGTAAAGGTGCAGCTAGTCTGAATGACTTTGTATACTGCAGGGTAGCTGGTGGATTTACTCCAGGTGGAACTAAAGTCTGATTTAAGACCTGATTAGATTTCACATCATTCATCTGTAAAGTAACTAAAGGTATTAAATACATGTTGTGGAGTAAAAGTACACCATGTACCTCTGAACTGTAGTGTAGTACTACTAAGTAGTATAATGGAAATACTAAAGTAAAGTACAAGTACCTCAAAATTGTACTTAAGTACAGTAGTTGAGTAAATGTACTTAGGTACTTTACACCTCTGTATCTACGTATGAATCCATCATTTTGGGCAAGAGGACCAGATTTTGGATTGTAATTAGGAACACATTTGCTTTTTCTTAATATGACGAGTCAAAATGTCTGCCATGCTCAGGAAAATAACTTCGAGAACACATTTTGTGTTTTTATCTTTTATGCTTACTATTTTAGTTTTTGCATTTCACAAATGTATCTTAAATAGAAAAATATGCATAAGTATTATTCCCTAAAATTGGATTTGAGGTTTTAGTTTTAGACTGAGTTCAGTTTGAACGCCCCCGAGTGGCCATGCATGTTACACAGCTGTGTGTTTGACAGGAGGACACGTCTCAGGTGCGTTTTAGCTCAATGCAGGACTCGCTTAATTCATTATAACAATAAGTAAATGCTGCGACAATTATTGAGTAGACCGGAAACGCCAAAAAATGAAGCAGGCAGTGAAGTTACCAGCTGTTTTTACATTTTAAAAAAAGGATATGTTTGGACTCCAGCTGCTCAGAAATTCCCTTGAATCGTCCCTGAAGTCTTTGCATTGTTTCCTCCATCTATAAGAAGAAAAAAACACGACATTTAAAGTATTACAATGTTAGTTTTTGTGCACATACCTTTATCGTTGTCAGACAAACTCACCGCTTCTGTCAACTCTTTAGCTGAATTGCTCTCTGTTTTCGACATCGTTTCTTAAACAACAGTGTTAGTATATCGGCTGAAACCTAATCTTGGCCCCTACAACCTGAGTATGAATGTTCTCTTGCTGTAAAAATCTCCTTTCTGTTTCCCCCATGGATGTATAATAAGAGGTTTCCCCTCGACAACGTTAGCAATGACTCCCATAGCTTGAGTCGAAAGACTGAAAACAACGCGACTTCCGCGTGCAGTTTTTTTAAATGTCAAAATAAAAGTCCCTAGATGAAAGCATCTGAAAAAGGGAATCATAATATTTTAAGTGTCTTGCGATGAGGTTCAGGTAAAGCACGGTTAAAGTATTATATTTCAGTCAAAATGTTCCGGTGCTACAGAAATAACATTCTGGGCTCTATCAATCAACATACCTGGGTTATGAGTTGATACATTTTCCTATCCGTATATCATTTAAAATATGTTTGGGAGAAGGTATTGGTGGTTATAGCTTTTAATTACGTCAGCACGCAAGACACTTCAAATATTATGATTCCCTTTTTCAGATAATTACATCTAGGGACTTTTATTTTGACATTTTAAAAAACTGCAGGCGGAAGTCACGTGGTTTTCAGTCTTTCGACTCAAGAGCCTCATCCCAATAACCCTCCTCGACTCCTCTCTTCCCCCTTAATTATAAACTATAATATAAGAAGACGTCCGTTTGTGATGACGCCACACAGCTGATCGTCTGACAGCAGGGTTGCATTCCAATAGTCCATTTAGCTTAGGAACCTTCCTAACGGAGTGAAATGACCCGGAAGTACGTCACTGGCAGCCATGATAAGTGCCGTTCCAATTCTCCAAATGAAAGGAAAGGAGGTTTCAAACTTCCTCTGTCACTACCCGATCTGCAGCTCTGCCCGATCTGCAGTGCGCATGTGCGAGATGGTCCGCCATATTGGACAACTCCGGACGGCAACCCAAGTAGGACAACATTGACACAGTGGCTTTTGACAAAAATAAAACGAGAGAGAGATGAGTTATTGTTATAACAACGTGACTTCACTATTATTTAATAACTCTTTTTATTGGGTTCTTTTATTTGTGGTTAAGTACATTGTCAGATTAAGTGAGAAATGGATTTAACTTCTGCTAGACAGCTATCATACTGAATTTACTGTGAATGTATGCAAAAATGTATGGCATATAGCTGTCTAACAGAAGTTAAATTCATAGGACAAAATTGACATCTAGACCGTCCTGAACGCAACTTGCAATTGCCAATTCGCAAGTTTTACATGTGACACAACGGGTGATTTGCAGAGTTTTTACATGTGACAAATGGTGATTTGCATTGCATCTGACAGAATGAAGACTTTAGTGTTTTACAACAATTTGAGAGAATACATGTCTGAAGGTGAATTTCACACAGACCTCTCTAAAAATGAGCGAGATCAAATGCGCCGTGCGTCATCGAACTTTACAGTAAAAGGTAATTAATTATCATTCTCCTGTTATTTTATGTTGTGACTAACTGATCAGTTACTTAGCTCTGTCCCAAGTTTTGTATTGTATTTTTATTCTATTGTATTTGTATTGCCTTTCTAAATGAAATAATACTATACAAAAAAATATTTAATTCAATATTATAATATAATTTATTATTTTATTATTATTTATAATATAATAATTGTATTCCTGAATGACCCCTTTTTTATGTTTGTGTTTCTGTTTTTTTAATTAATCAAGCAAAATTAAAGGATACAAACTCCAGTTATATAATTCCATATGAATAAATAATATTACATGCAAATGACATTTCCTGTAGGATGCTGAACTCTCTCCCACCTCTCCCCTCTGCCCCCATTGGACCTGGATCTTACACCCCACCCCCCCCCCCCCCCACCCCACACACACACAATATATGTATTGCTGTGCCTTCTTATTTGCTCGTATTATGATGGGATATGGTTTAATTTAGTAAATGGTTTGTGTGTGAAAAATGTATATCTCTAAAATGTGGTTTTAGGTATGATCACATTGTTATATGAAAATGTATGAAGTTCATAACAAACATTCTCAGTGTACAGTCAATCAACTGCAAAGGGTGACGATATGGCAGAAGGTGCTAATCTATATATATTATGAATTGTGTATATATTATTATATATATCTATATATATCTATATTATATATATATATATATACACAATTCAAAAGCTGGTAAGACTCTTTCAAATTTAGGCAATAATAGTCTGAACAAAAGGACTGATAACAGAGATTTGTTTGTTCAGGAATATGTATTCATATGATAAGGGCTCTTGGTCTTAACCCCAAATAATAAACACAAAAGTCTTTCATTCTGTCAGATGGTTCAAGTGCAGTCTTCATTCTGTACATAAAAACACAAAGTCTTCATTCTGTCAGATGCAAAAGTTCTTCATTCTGTAATAAAACACAAAAGTCTTCATTCTGTCCAGAGGCAAAAGGTCTCATTCTGGTAATAAAACACAGTTCTTCATTCTGTCAGATGCAAAGTCTTCACATTCTGTAATAAACACAAAAGTCTCATTCTGTCAGATGCAAAAGTCTCAGTCTGTCAGATGCAATGCAAATCACCGTTTGTCACATGTAAAAAACTTGCGAATGCGCAATGCATATTTTGTCACATGTAAAACTGGCGAATGGTTCAGACGGTCTAGATGTCAATGTCGTCCTACTTGGGATTGCCGTCCGGCGTTGTCCAATATGGCGGACCATCTCGCACATGCGCACAGCAGATCGGGCAGAGCTGCAGATCGGGTAGTGACAGTGACAACCTCCTTTAGCTTAGGAACCACTGGACCTCCCTAACCGAAAGGAGAGGAGAAAATGCTGCCCCACAATGCCTTGCAGCCGCAGCATTTACCGTCACTCAACAGTCGGCCGTTCACGGAAACAACCGATTATGACCGAGAAATGATATCATGAAAGTTACTGTGCTTATTAAGCTTTTTAAAACTTATGTGGTAAGTTGCCAAAGTGCTTTGTTCTGAACGTTCATCAGTATTATAATCAAAAAGAGAAATATGAACGTTAGTTTTGACTGAAATGATCAAATAAAGTCAACATCTCACAGTCTTTACTGAGCTGTGGGGTTTGTTCAACTTTTAAAAGATGTTTGAATGGTGATATACACAGTGATAGATGTTAAGGACTAACGTTTATAATAAATACATTTATGATTTTAAGATATTTTCATACAATCATACGTATTGGGATCATTTGTATTAATGTGGACCGGAGGGAGAGGGTGACGAGCATAAGTTTCACTTTCCTTTTTTATTTCAATTCCAACTTTGGTCCTGAAGAATATGTTTCTCTGTTGTCCACGTTCATAAAGCATAAAGCAACAGCGTCAGAGCACAGAGTCTCTAGATGAGTTTACAGGAGTCCCTCGTTCTTATTGAACATCCATGTTGTAGTCCGCTGTATAGAAAACTGTAGTTTCCATAGTTTCCCCACAGCAGCAGACGCACATTCATGACGTCCGCTGGCGCATCATAAACACGTCGGATAGTGAAAGTGCATTCGGATTCTCTAAAGTACCGCGGTCTCTTCTCCTAAGTCCTTTTGAATTCTCCTATCCACTATCCCTTAACCCCGTGACGTTTCACTCAGAGGTCAAGGAATAGGAGATAGGGTTAGAATTTAGGAGCTGATTTTTGGATTATCGGAACGCAACCCAGCTCTGTCCCCGTTCTTTTCACAAACACCCCCGCCTCTGTTAGTACACATTTACTGACACAAACATTTGTATCATCTGTTGTAGACCCCAATACATAAAATAAAATAAGAACTCATTCTCAAAAAAGATAAACGCCATTCTTAAAATGTATAAACGAACAATAGTTTGATTAATATTGATTAGAGTGCACAAAAGAAATAAAATAATTGAGAGAAGAAAAAGAGATATGTTATCTATCAAAACCCAGTTAGATTAACATTCATTGGATTGCACACTTTGTTTGTTTGTGTGGATATGTAGCACATTAACATTTTAATAGCACTTAATGACTGACTGAATGGAAATGACAATAAATGAAAATGTAAAACGAAAAAAGCGATCATGAAAATGTTTCCAATAAATGAATACAATTATTTTTGACCACTTTGTCGTTTTGCATGATGTCACTGACAATGTTTTAAGGATCTCTTGTCGAGCTAGGTTGTCCGTTTGAAATGTCTGGATGAAGATGTAACTCATTTACAAATGTTACAAAATATTTTAAAAAATGCCTCTTTTCATCCTCTGTCTGAGGGAAACCCCCAAAAAGCATGATAGGGCGAGCCAGGCCCCTTTAAGTTATTTTATTTATTTTTGTCTGCTTCTGAGAAGCTAATGTATAAGTTATACAGTTATTTCTGCAAGAAAATTACAATAAAATGACTGTTAAATCTTCACATCTTGTATTCATGTCTATAATTTTGAGCACCAAAACATTGAAAAGTATCGATAAGAGTATCGAAACATACCGATAAGCAGTATCGGTATCGATAAAATCCTAACGATACCCATCCCTACCTGCGAGTAGGAGCTCATATTGTCCTTCGGGTTTTCCCTTTCCTGTAGTGTGTTATATAGGTTTTAGTGCATGTGAATGGTCTGCAAAGGCTAAAATCCCTGTGCTACCTCCAGAGGGGGTTTCTCTCCCACACACTCCCGCCTCACTTGCTTGAAACACCCACATTGGACTCCTTTGTTTACTTCCTGAACATAATGACATCAACATGTAACACTTGGCTAGCGCTCCAACTAATTGTATGTGAAAGGCTAAGGGGCAGGACATCTCTAAGCGGTTGTCCAATCAGAGCAAGCTGGGCTCTGGTTTCAGACAGAGGGTGAAAAAAGGTGCTGCAGAACAGGCAGTATGAGACAAATAAAGGGCTTTTTGAACATTAAAGCATGAAGACATGTCTCAGTAGAGATAATACTGATATACACCTGAAAGTGAGCATCATAACTTCATTTAAATGAAGTTGGAGCGTGTTTGGATGATGTGAAGTTGGTTTTACAGTATGTGATGTATTTTCTGCAAACAGAAGGTGGAGGAAGCACGCTGGTTCTGATGTGTTGTTTGTCACAGTTAGGGGCGACTGCATCATTACGGCAGCGAGCCCCCGGGTCTCTTCAGCGTCGGAGGGTACAGGGGTCCGCATTAATAATCTTAACAAGGCCGTCAACACTGATATGATCGCTCTCAAGGTCACGATTAAGGCTGAGAGGAAAAGTATCAGTGAAACCCAGCAGGTAAGACCTGTTAAAGGAATACTTCACACCCAAAAGGACCATTTGTATATCAATGACTCCCCTGTGTTACCTTGAATTCTTAAACACATATTTGTTTTTCTTGCCTGCCTCCACTTTGTGCGTTGGTGTTCGGATCAGGGTTCAAACCCCACTGCAGTCAACATGTCGTTCTGTCCCTGAGACACTTCACCCCAAATTGCTCCTGTGGGGATTGTCCACAGTATTGAGTATGTAAGTCGCTTTGGATAAAGCGTCTAACAAGTGACATGTAATGTAATGTAACAACAGGGTGAAACAAAAACATATTTTTGCTCTCCAATTACTTCAATAAATCCCAAATGTTTTCTGTTTTCACTTTCTTCATTTTACCCTGAGAAATGCAACAAAAACAAACAAGTTTCTTGAACAACTGAAAGTAACCCTTTGTGAGAAAGTCTGATGTACAAAATGGTCATTTAGGGGTTTGAGATATTGCTCTTTTACCTTACAGTTTTTTGCACAGGACTTAAGAACTCAGAGGTGACAGAAAATCAGAAAATCAACAGCACTCAGTTGCCACCCTGACAGCACAGCAGCACCTGTAGACAATCAGCTCATTAGGCCCTGATTGGCTGCAAGCTGCAATAAAGCCTCCTTTCTGCTGCTCAGACAAGCAGAGCAAGTCACTTCGGGGCTACTGGTTCTTTACTGCTGTGTTGGAACAGAGAGAGAGAGAAATATGACTTGTGGAGTTCATTTGGGGTAAGTTTCTGCAGATATGCAAAGTTAATTGTTGTTAGCCGTCTGCGTTCTCTGATGTTTACATATTTTCTGTGCAGGATTTTCCTTATTGTCTTGGTTCAAGCAGAGCATGTGCGCTGTTTGTGGGCTTCACAAGGTGAGCTAAGCACAACATTTCACTTAACCCTTCTCTTGCGTTAGGTCATACCCCCCTTCCCATGCTATTTTTGGTCAAAATTGACCGGTGTGTTTTGCAAAGTGATATCTCTGGAACCCCTTATCCAATTTTGATTGTTGACATCTCATTTGAACAGTCAAAGCAAGTATAATCAAGGGGTGACAGACTGAATGACACCAGGGGTGAGTTTAATATTATCTTTTGCAGTAAGGTCAAAGACAGCGCTTATTTTACGTTACTGTAGTGTATATTATAAAAATGCTTGCCATGTAGGCTGTGTTTACTGGAGATGGAAGTACTTTAGTTAGTGCTGTAGCTGAGATTCTTCCCGTTCCAATGATGTATTGATTTGATAGTGTTTCATGTCATGGTCCGGACCCACCGGTGGGCCCATCAAGTTCAGCATTCACTGTGATGAATATAAAATAAGACACTGATACTGTTTTCCTCAATGAAAATGTATTGAAAGAGAAATACACCATAACAGAATGTGTGTGTGTGCATGCTCACATGTGTTCACGCACATAGTTGGCAATGCAAAATTGTGGTGGAATGTTCCTTGCAAACGTAGGCATGGCACTTCTGGCAGGCCTAGCTGGTTTTTCTCCTCTCCCTCAGGTGCCCCTTCCTGGTCTGCTGTAGGCTCATAGTCTGGATCGCTGTTGTCTTCCGTTTCTGTGAAATCTTCCTCTATCTCCTCTTCATCTGGTTAAAAAAAAGTGTCCAGAGCCCCTCGTACAGAAAATCGCCTAATCGGTCGCCTACTCATTGTGTCAATGAGTCAAATGTCGGCAAGCCACAAATATAACTGCTTGAGAGCCAGTAAGGGAGGCGCAATTAGTGAGAGGTTTGTGTTTCTTGAGGGGCACCGAGCTCGCACCTGTGAGAAGGTAGAGGTTCCCCTAACGTGTGTATAGATGTTTTCCATCTGCAGGATGAACATAATGCACTCATACCCATTCGTTTTCTATGGTGGTCAAGTGCTGTGAATGACTATAGCTGTGGCTTTAATATTTTTCTTTTTCTCTAGCAGCTCAGAGCAAGAACAACAACACATATGTTGGCTTCAGGCAAAATAATCGGGAAGCTGGTGTCAACTATCTCCAGAATCGACGCAGACAGGCCCTAAGCAGAAACTTAAACATACCTTCAGCTGTGGGCGGTCGTTTTAGCTGGGGGCCTTCTACTGGTGGCTACACACAAACTGTTTCACAGCCAACTAAAAGTGGCTTGGCTAAAGTCAGGTTAGTGCAGGGCAGCTCAGTGTCAAAACCTAACTTGAATCGTGTGCCTAAACAGCGTTTTCATGGCCTTTCTAGTGCTATTGCCGGTAGCGATTCTCTGAGTAAGAGCAGCAACAAGGACACGGGGAAGTCTTCCAGCCTGTTTGGTGCTGGCGCTCCTGAGCCAAACCAAACCCCTGCACGGACCAAAACTTCCTCCAGTGTTCGCGCTAAGCTAGTGTCTAAAACGGCTAAATCTTCCCGTCCCTCAGCTCCTAAAAACCCCAGCCAGACTGAGGTTGTGAACCCATACAAGAGTAAACTGTTTTCAGGGAATGCAGGAAATGCCAGAGGAAGCTACAAGGCTATTTCCATGGCCTCAAGTTATGGCACTGACTCCAAATCGTCCAGAGAGGGAACCTCTGGTAAGAAGTTCGCCCCGACCAAGACCCACATCATCCCTGATAAATTTGGTGGCTATGCTATCAGACGGCTGAAGGCTCCTGGGCAGGAGAAAGTGAGTGTCAGGAAGCCCCAGCAGCAGACTCCCAACAAGGCCTACAATGCTCCCCGGCAGCAGATTCCCAACAAAGCCTACGAGGCTCCCAACAAGGCCTACAATGCTCCCCGGCAGCAGATTCCCAACAAGGCCTACGTGGCTCCCAACACGGCCTACAATGCTCCCCAGCAGCAGACTCCCAACAGGGCCTACGAGACTTCCAACATGGTCTACAATGCTCCCCAGCAGCAGGCTCCCAACAGGGCCTACAATGCTCCCCAGCAGCAGACTCCCAACAAGGCCTACAATGCTCCCCAGCAGCAGACTCCCAACAAGGCCTACGAGACTCCCAACAGGACTCCCAACAGGGCCTACGAGACTCCCAACAGGGCCTACGAGACTCCCAACAGGCCCTACAAGACTCCCAAGAAGGCCTACGTAGCCCCTCAGCGGCAAGCAACAAACCAGGCCTACGAGGCTCCCAACAGGGCCTACGTGGCCCCTCAGAGGCAGGCTGAACCCCAGACCTACATCTTTCCTCAGGTTGCTCCTCCCAAACCTCAAGTCCCGAGTGCTCACATAAATGCCAAATGGTTTCGTGTCAGTCCAAAGTGGGGACAATAGCAGGTGAGTTCTATGCTCGCTTTCTTGCTGTTCTATACATTAACTTAAACCTGGTGACTAATGTGTGTTTGTTCTTACAGGTGCAGCTGGTGTCCTCGGATGAATATTTCGTTTTTTTTTTTAAATGAAATAAATACATTAATTTACCACCTGGTTGTGTCTTTACTTCACCTTGTATTGTGGGATGGTGAATGCCTTAGCATGAGTGCTTGTGGCTTGGTGCCCTCTAGTGTCTAGTGCAAAAATGTTTCCTTTACAAAACACATTTGCAAAATGTATCTTAATACTTTACAGCGCTCACAAAAGATTGTGAAAATCCCCTTAGCAAAAACAAATGTCTCAATAGTTCTAGTTTAAACTATTGCAAATTTACAAAAGTGTGAGATATCTGCTTATGTGGCACACTGGTTCTTACAACAATGCAGTGTTTGCTTTTGAGTTGGACTTTTTACTTTGACCTTTACCAGTGGCACTCTTTATAATGTGACTCTTAGGTTTTAGTTAAGTGGTAAAATATCTTATCACTTTAAGGGGCTCCCACTAAATGTACAAGTCAATTGATAGACATTGAGCACTAAACTTAAAACATGTGATTCCTTATCCCAATGTCTGCACTTGAAACTTTGAAAGTTCCTCAACTTGAATGCAAAGTGTACATGCTAGTGTAGACTGTGGCCATATTGGATTACATGTTTATAATATATTGCCTTATATTTAACATTGTAGTCTGATGAAACTTTTAATGTAAAGATAAAAACCTTGCTTCTTTCAACATTAAACTTTGTAAACCAGGCTCTATCAGGGGCGTTTCCTGGACCTGGAAACATTTGGGGCTTAGCCCACAGTGGCGGAGCCAGAGATTTTCTTTTGGGTGTGCTGTGGGGTAGCTTGACGTTTCATGGAGGGTGCTCAAACATTTAGGGTTAAGGTACCGGGCGCTACAGTGGAATGTTCTACTGCAACACTCCCCACACACAGTACACCCGCGACTGTTACAATGAAGGCTCGATAATCAGCTCAGGCCATAGAGGTGTAAGCAGGGGTAAAGTCTCTATCTTTTAGTATTTCATAACTGTTTTTAATTTATTCTCTGTTTTATAACTATAATGGTCATATGAAGGTGTGCCTTGGAATAATCTTTCACATACTAATTGCATTCACTGAACACGATAAATTACAATCCTGCCGTCCTCTCTATAGTGTCATGAGGTGCAGGTGAAGCACGGTTAATGTATTATATTTCAGGGAGAATTGTCCGGGGCTACAGAAAAAACATTCTGGGCTCTATCAATATCTCTGTCCCTGATATGCAAGTTGCAAATCCAAAGTGCCTCATTTTCATATGTAAAATTCAACCTGTTCTCACCAGAATGCGTGACTCCACGACTCCTTTGACACCGCATTGCGTCGTGGAGTCACGAACTTTGCTACATTTACGTGTCTGCACCACGCAAACAACCCCAATGTAAAGTGAATGTGGCTGCTTTGTCGTGGTGCACACACGCATTTCTACAACGTCCAGCAGTGAGCTTTTATTCTATAAAATGTTTTTTAAATCTACTTTATAGCTTGTAGAAACTCGCGGGAGGCTTCTTTTATTATATTTGTATTCATAATATTTTTTGTTTTTCGTCAGAATGTATTATGGTGCATTAGTTACGAATTTCTGTTCTCAGAAAACTGCATTGTGTGTAATACAACTGTGATTTTTATTAAATTAGTTAGTTTTTAAGGAAGGCCAGAGCTTCAGCTGTGTCCAATAGATTGTTCCCTTTAGTTAACGTTTTTCAAAAGAACATTATATTCCGATTTGATCATTATTATTGTATTACGGAAAGCAATGTGAGCGTCCATTCCCATTGGATAACGCAGGATTTTACACCCGGAAGTAAGTATTCTCTTTACTGTCGATTGATTTTATAGTGATATCTGCACTACTCATCATCTCAAAAACACCAGATTATCCTTGTTGATTACACAACATTGATTGGTTTAAATTGTGTACAAGGCTTTTGTAATTTTCCTCTTCGATTCGGAGAAACAAATATTTGTTCAGTTTAGGATGGCCGAAGACACTACACTACCCAGAATCCTCAGCTATCGTTTGGGACTACACCATGTGCTTTGCTTGACAAACCCTGTGATTTGTCCTCAAGCTCTGTGATTGGATGTTGGAGTGGCAGTGCGCGAAGTTTACGCCGAGCGTCACAGCATTTTGAAATGGAATGAAACCCATCGACGGCACACTATTCAAAACAGGAATCGAATGTCTCCCCCAGACAGACTAGAAGATCTCCAGCATCTTGCTGCACACGTGGAAGGATCTCAGCTTCCTCAGAAAATAGAGTCTGTTCATCCCCTTCTTGCAGGGGCGGACTGGGACTACAAATCAGCCCGGGACTCTCGACCGGCCCACTTCGGTACCGCCGGCCCACCGCGATACCGCATAATAGCGCTAGTAAATTGTCGAAGGGGGGGGGGGGGGGGGGGGGTGTGCTAGTGACTTACCGCAGAGGTTGACATTAAGGGTAAAATGGACTTGTATTATCACTGGCCCCACCATTGTAACCACTGGCCCGGAGCATTCGTCCAAAAAAAAAAAATCGACTAATATAGAAGAAAATTAACACATAATATAATAATATATTTTATTTCTTTAGCGCTTTTCTTGAACCCAAAGACATGTGTTGCAATAGTAATTTATGCACTAATTACATTACTACTTGTACTCCAACATTTGAATCATCAGTTCTTCCTCATTTTCCTCAATTGTTCATATTTAGTTTATTAAAATAATGATATTGTGGTCATTGTTAAAAAATGTCTGCTATTATTATGAGTATTATTATTTGTATAATGCACTTTCTGCCTTCCTGTCATTAGGAGTTAGACATGTAATGGATATGTAATAGATTAGATTAGAACCTTCATTATCCTAAACTGCTGGGACATTTCGCCAATACCTTTTATATTGTCTACTCTTCACTTACTTGTCAGCATAGGTCGGCATTGATGTACAGAGCCGACAGAAGACCTTGTTTATATTGGCATCATATTGAGAGGTGCAGTGACGCATCCTAAAACCAGGAAGTAAGCTGCTGGTTCCCTCGACAAAAAGCAATGGGATTTCTCCACAGGGTTTTGGAAAATAGCTGGAACTAAGGTCTGTGGAAAACAAACCTGTTTGATAAATGCACGTTTTGTTCAGCCGGATAATCTCCACATGCTACCCTACTTTTATAATTTTTGAATCATAAATCTAATCGATAGATTATAAAAGGGTTTTAGGACGCGTCACTGCACCACTAGAAGCCAACTCCATCGATCAAGCTGGTTGAAACTTTCTCTCCCTCTTTTTCTCATGCTCCCTGTCACTCTCCTTTAACTCCTCCGGTGATTTTCTTTTATTTAAAGATAGTTTTTTGCCGGCGCTTGGCCGGTTACCGCTGGTATTAAAAACATTTTGGCGAATGGTTAGGTGCAGAGCCCTAGAGAGATAATTATAATTATAATTATTATTATATAATTATCTCTCTAGGGCTCTGGTTAGGTGGCGAGAAAGTCTGTAGTGAAGGAGCGCGCTCACGGGAGCCTGCTCGTGCTGCGCTCTGCAGCAAACAGCTGTTTGCTTTTCACCCAACAACGACAACCGACTCACGGAGCGCTATGTTGTAGCGTTGATAAACGAAACAATTTAACAAAATTGCTAGTCAAAATACCAATACCACAGGACAATTTGTTTAAAGCAATATTTTTAGTGGCCCGAGCGGGCAAGTGGAAAGTACATTATGCTGGCCCGGGGTGTCTAAATAGTGCTTCCGGGCCAGCGGGCCATTTAATGTCGAGCCCTACCGGTTACCGGCCGGCCCACACCGTCCGACCGGCCCACTTCAGTAACGGCCCATCGGGATTCGTCCCGATGGCCAGTCCGCCCCTGATAAGAGCCATGGGACGCTACTCAAGATGGCGCAGACAAAATAAACTTCCGGTGAGACCGAGGACCGAGGAGCGAGGAAATGAAAATAGTCGACCTGAGACAGGGCCCCGGAAGTCCGTCAGTGGCAGCCATGTTAAGTGCCGTTCCAATTCTCTAAATGAAAGGAAAGGAGGTTTCAAACTTCCTTTATAACCTCCTTTAGCTTAGGAACCACTGGACCTCCCTTGACGAAAGGAGAGGAGAAAATGCTGCCCCACAATGCATTGCAGGCATGGGCGCGGGAAGGGGGGTGCTGAGGGCGCTGCAGCACCCCCTAGCGGCAGGCAGGGGGTGCGGAGCTCCCCTGTCTGAATTATTATTTGACGGTTATTGCTGCTCCCGCTGTGCATAATCTGTGTAATTTGTAGCCAATAAATTCCACATTGTTGGTAAAATAATATTTTGGCCTGCCCCGAATGTTTTTTCTGTAGCACCGGACAATTCTACCTCAATAACATAATACATGTTTTACGTGAACCTCATCATGCCACTCGAGAGGACGGCAGGACTGTAATTTCCCGTGTTCAGTGAATGCAACAGAGGCAAGACACCAGACCAATCAGAGAGTTGCATGGAAATAAAAGTGTGCTTGTGTCATTCAAACTCGGCTCTGTTTGTGTGTGTGTGTGTGTGTGTGTGTGTGTGTGTGTGTGTGTGTGTGTGTGTGTGTGTGTGTGTGTGTGTGTGTGTGTGTGTGTGTGTGTGTGTGTGTGTGTGTGTGTGTGTGTGTGTGTGTGTGTGTGTGTGTGTGTGTGTGTGTGTGTGTGTGTGTGTGTGTGTGTGTGTGTGTGTGTGTGTGTGTGTGTGTGTGTGTGTGTGTGTGTGTGTGTGCAGGACCGGCCCTAGACATTTTGGTGCCCTAGGCGAGATTATGATTTGGTGCCCCCCCCCCCCCCCCCCCCCTCCAAGCAATACACAATAGAATATATAAAGACTAAATGAAAAATCTCTACAAAAGACCAATACACTGTAAGAACTGAAACGTATTGACATGTTGGTTAAATACATAAAGAAGGTTTCAAATATATTCATTATTGTATGAACATGTTTTAATTGGGAGGTGGACGTCACATCCTCTGGGGGGGGTCCGGGGGTATGTCACCCCGGAAAGATTTGTTTTAACATTTTAAAGTAGAATGCTTCAATCTGCTGCACTTAGAGCAGAATTACTAGAGACTAGATCTAGGGGGCACAACTCTAAAACACCCATATGAAAAAGATCGGTT